TTTCTTTTTTGAGACACACCCTTGCTCTGTCGCTCAGGCTGGAGTTCAGTGGTGTGATCTTGGCTCACCGCAACCTCCGCCTCCCGAGTTCAAGCGATTCTTGTTTGAGCCTCGGCATCCCGAGTAGCTGGGATTACAGGTGCCCGCCACCACACCCGGCTAAGTTTTGTATTTTTAGTGGAGACAGGGTTTCACCATGTTGGTCAGGTTGATCTCGAACTCCTGACTTCATGATCTGCTTGCCTTGACCTCCCAAAGTGCTATGATTACAGGCGTCAGCCACCACGCTGGTCCCTTCAGCTCTTTTAAAAATACATGCGCTCAGACAGACACAGCAAAGCTCCACAGAAGCGCTGACTTGGCCTCCCCCCGCCCCGCTCCCAGGGCTTACCTCTCGTTCTCATTGTGCCGGATGTACCTCTGCTCAGGTGGATGCGCTCATAGTCAAGGCCTTAGGATTTTGTTTGGAAATTTAGCACAGGTGTTATCGCTGTGCCACTATCACTTTGTAAGCTGCCTTTTACACCTGTCTTTAGGTTCGGGATTTCTCAGAGTTGTCACGGCTTGTCTTGCCTGCACACACAGTGGCGTGGCCTGTCCTCAGCAGTGACACTGGACATGAGAACTGCTGGAGACGAGCCAAGGAGAAAGAATTCAATGCCTGCTCTCATTCTCTCAGTTTTACCAGAAATAACCCAGGGACTTCAGCCTTCCGTTCAAAGGGGCATTTTTCTTTTTCTTTTTGAGACAGGGTCTTGCTCTGTTGCTCATGCTGGAGGTCAGTGGCACGTTCATGGCTCACTGCAACCCTGACCTCCTGGACTCAAGCAGCTCTCCCCCCTCAGCCTCCTGAGTGGCTGGGACCATGGACACACATCACCATTCCCCACTAATTTTATGTTTATTTTTCATAGTGATGGGGTTTCTGGCCAGGCACAGTGGCTCACACCTATAATCCCACCACTTTGGGAGGCTGAAGCTGGAGGATTACTTGAACCCAGGAGTTTGAGACCAGCCTGGACAACATAGCAAGACCCCGTCTGTATTTTTTTTTTTCCTGAGATAAAGTCTCTCTTTGTTCCCTAGGCTGGACTCGAACTCTAGGGATCAAGCAATCCTCCTGCCTCAGCCTCCCAAAGTCGTGAGCCAGTGCTCCTAGCCCAAAGGGGCCTCTCTACTCCCTTGTCCCCCAGTTGCAGGGCAGCTCTCTCCACCAGTTCCCAGCACAGGCAGACAGAGCAGCCCCTGCCCCAGACCTGCCGCTGTGCCTTCAGCCTCAGGGCAACACGGGCCTCTCCTGCCCCACCCAGAGGGAGCCAGAGTTCCACACCTGCCACCTGGCAGAGCCCAAGGCCTGAAGCAGCCTGCAGAGACTGGAGTGAGGCCTCTGCAAGCCTGCAGCCAGCCCCCTCCTGGCAGTGGTATCTTAAGACTCAGAGACGATTACAGGGGAGGACTCCGGGTAATGGGGTCAAGCCGCTGGGGTGGAGGAGCTGGACAGGTGGACAGGGGCACAGGACAGCTGCCCTCCAGGGCCAGCTCTGGGGCAGAGCCAGAGGTGGGAGCCAGCGCCAGGCGGAGAAAGCCAGGCAGGCCCTGGTCTCTAGGTCTCTAGCTCATCAGGGACTAGGTGTGAGCGCCATCTGAGCAGGTGTGGACACTGTGTGGGGCTGGAAGAACTGGGCAGGGCCCCACCTCCTCCACCTTCAGGCTGGGGAACTCAACTGAAGCTGACTCACCGACCACTTATGAGCACCTAGTGGGAAGGGGCATCTGCCCCACAGAGGTGCACAGTTAGTCGGGGAGGGAAGAGGCATATTCGGTCCAAATGAGTGCCACAGCCAGTCACCACACCGGGGGCTTAACACAACAGAAAGATGTTCTCTCACGATTCTAGAGATCAGAAGTCAAAAATCAAACTACGGGAGGCTCCTTCCTGCCTCTTCCCACTGCTGGCGGCTCCAGGCTCATAGCGGCCTCACTCCCGTCTCTGCCTCTGTCTTCCCAAGGCCGTCTCTCTCATCTCTCATCTCTCTGACGTGTTGTCTCTGTCTCAAATCTCCCTGTGTTGCCTGTTGCGGGGTTTGCTGCCCCCCTAAATCCAGGATGATCTTTAATTATATCTATAAAGACCCTCTTTCTACATAAGGTCACATTCACGGGTTCTGGGGCACAGATCTTTTGGGAGCCATCATTCAGTCCACTTCACAGGGCACAGGGAACCTTCTAGAAGAGGCAGACCAGCAGAGACCAGGCTCTCTCTAGAGGGAAAGAGAGAGGTCTTCAGAAAAGTAGAGGAAGGATATCAGGGCCCGGATGCAGGCATGGGAGGAGGAAGGTGGACAAGGTCCTGGCTGGACACGCAGAGCCCCTCCAGCCCTGCCGGAAGTTTGCCCTTGACCACAGGATGCTGGGAGGGGGGCGGCGAGGGGTCGCAAAACGTTAGCATGGAGCTGCAGCTGGAGAGGTGAGCTTCTCTTCAGTTTAGGATGAATTGTTCTGATAGGCAAGGAAAGGCTGAAAATTAAGGCATAATCCTGAAGAAAAAAAAAACTCTAAACAATATTTTTTCCTTATTTTTATGACTTAAGAATTTATTTGGCCAGGTGCGGTGGCTCATGCCTGTAATCCCAGCACTTTGGAAGGCTGAGGCGAGTGGAACACTTGAGGTCAGGAGTTTGAGACCAGCCTGACCAACATGGTGAAACCCCCGCCTCTTCTAAAAACACAAAAATTAGCGGGGCGTGGTGGTGGGCACCTGTAATCCCAGCTCCTGGGGACGCTGAGGCTGGAGAATCATTGGAACCCAAAAGGCAGAGGCTGCAGTGCCAAGATTGCACCATTGCACTCCAGCCTGGGCGACAGTGCGAGACTCCATCTCGAAAGAAAAAGACCAAAAAGCAGGGCTTCTCTGCCTTCAGTGGTCTCACGATCCCTCGGGATTCCCAGCAAGGGCCCAAGCTGCAGTTTTCGAGTTAAAGGGAAGCTCCTTGACACACGAACAAGCTGCTTCGGACCCTGCTTCACCTGGGGGCAAAGGTTCCATGCAGCCTGTGTCCCCGCTTTCCTGTTCCTTCCTTCATCTCCCTGCGTTCTCAGCTCAGGTCCCACCTGCTCAGGGAAGCCCTCCCTGATACCCCAGCCAGATCCAGGGCCTTTGTGATCTTCTCACATGGAACCTGGGCTTTTTTCTCAGAAGGGAACTTACCCTCATCTGGAAACATACAACCTCTGGTGGGACAAGCTAGTTAATATCTGTCATCCCTGCTAGACTCAGCCTCCTTGAAGGTGGGGGCTGTCTGAGTTTGTTCAGCATCAAATCCCCATACCTACAACAGTGCCTGGCACATAGTAGGTGCTCAAGAAACCTCGGTCTGCACTTGCCCTTCAAGATTCCACTCATGGCTGGGTGCAGTGGCTCACGCCTGTAAGCCCAGCACTCTGAGGCCAAGGTGGGAGGATTGCTTGAGTCCAGGAGTTTGAGACCAGCCTGGGCAGGATAGGGAGACTTCACATCTACAAAAGAAATAGAAAAATTAGCTGAGCATGGTGTACACTTGCAGTCCCAGCTACTCAGGAGGCTGAGGCGGAAGGATTGACTGAGCCCAGGAGCTGGAGGCTGCAGTGAGCTGTGATCGTGCTACTGCATTCCAGCCTGGGCGGCAGAGTGAGATCCTGTCTCGAAACAAAACAAAAACAAAGATTCCATTCACAAGAGGAACCCACTGGAGGGAGATTCGGGCCTCCCTCCCAGCCCCTCCTGCCTGGGATCGGGGCCACTTCTGCAGCCGTCTGGAAAGGAAAAGCTGCCGTTTGTTGAGTTTGGCACTGGGATTTCACTGGCCTGGGATAAGGAGGCCTCATCTGTGTTTTCAAAGCTCCCAGTGAACCTAATTCAGAGTCAGGGGTGAGACCACAGGCGTAGGGGCAGATTTGAGAGCTGCTCATTCTTTCTAGTCCACTTCGGGACAGGGAGTGGGATGGGCGGCGAGCCTGGAGGAGGGCTTGGCCGACCAGGAGATTCCAGAAGAGGATGGAAGGCTTGCTGGGCCAGAATGCACCTACTGAGCCCACGTTCTGACTGCAGCTAAAACCCGTGCACTGGGAGCAGATCTAGTTTAGCTCCCTCGGTTCTAGGTATAGGAAAAAATGTAAGCCCACAGTTAACAAGACCAGCAGCAGGTGTGAGGTAAAAACACCGCGCCCCGACAGATGCCCTTTGCATACACAATCCTCGCTGCCCCTTAAGGCTTTCTACACGTAGGCAATGTTCATTTTGCAGATGAGGAAACTGAGGCTGAGAGGTTAACTAACGTGCCTAAGGCCACACAGCTGTGAACAGATGAGCAGAAATTAGAACCCACATGTGGCTAGAATGGAGGCCTCATCTGTGTTTTCAAAGATGCAGATGAGGGCAGGCTGGGGCTGGGGGTGGTGGTGACCTTTGCCCCCCATGCCGCCCTGGGCAGCATGATCAGGGCCTTGCCTGCACCTTGTAGGATTCCTTCCTGCTCTGATTTGGGCTTCTGCCCTCTCCCCCATACCCTCCCGCCCCCACACTCAGCTCCTTCAAGCCCAGCTGTCTGCGTTTGAAACTCCTCTGGCCTGATTCTGGGTTCCCACAGGGTCTGGTGTGCTGGAAGTCCAGTTTTTCAGCTGGAGGATAACCTCAGAAAGGATGTCACAGCCAGTGAGGAAGATGCTTTCTCTTGGCTTTTCCTGAAAGGGCAGACAGGGGAGTTCTGGCCACTCAAAGAGCAGCACAGCCTGTGGTCCCAACACGATCCCCAATCTGTGGCCTCCCCGCTCCCCTCACAAGCCACAGCACCAGGGGTGTCTAGAGATCTCAGTTTAAATCCCAGCTCTGGCCGGGCACAGTGGCTCACACCCATAATCCCAGCACTTTGGGAGGCCGAGGTGGGCAGATTACCTAAGGTCAAGAGTTCGAGACCAGCTTGGCTAACATGGTGAAACCCCATCTTTTTTTTTTTTTAATTCAGTCTCCTTAGAGACTGTCAAAAGTTGCCAATGCTGACTATATTGCAAGTCATCACAGCAGGGTACTGGGAACTTTTCAATTAGCAATAATTGCACCTCAGATAAGCCTCATTGGCTACGATACTGCCACTGTGCAAAGCTGAAACCCCATCTTTACTAAAAATATAAAAATTAGCCGGGCACAGTGGTGGGTGCCAGTAATCCCAGCTAGCGTGGAGGCTGAGGCAGGAGAATCTCTTGAACCTGGGAGGTGGAGGTTGCAGTGAGCCCAGCTCTGCCACTCCCCATCTGGGTGACCTCGGGTGAATTAGTCCCTCTGAGCCTCAGTTTTCAGGAAATAGGGACAGAAGCACCACCTGTTTCTTATGGTCACTAAGAATTAAATAAGCTCCTGAACACGAAAGGGCCAGCCCCAGCCACTCCGCAAACGCCTGTGAAATCTGAGGGCGATGATGACTACCTTTGTTTTTACAGCAAAGAAAAGAACTTTGTAGGACAAATCGGAAACCAAACTGTTTTTTGAAAAACAAAAAAACATTTATTTCTGTCAACTGAGTGCAGAGATGTTCTTCACAACCCCAATGCAGTACAGATTTCTTCCCCAAAACGAAATGAGCAAGGAAAAAAGAAAAAGAGCTATATCAGATGTGCTCATGAAGAACCAAGCCAATCTCATCTTTCTTTAAAAACAAAACACAACGATCCTTTTGAGTGTGTGGTGCGGGCGTAGGATTGAAGCCGAAGGCTTTCGGGGCGCCATGGCCAGGGCTTTGCTCAGCTGCCAGCTCAGTGGAGCAGCCCTGTGGCCTGAGCCATCCTCGCAGCTTGCACAGAAGCTTCCAGAACCTAAAGGATCCATTCCCAGCAATCCTTTTAAATTCCCAGTCCCCACCCTGGGCCTCTCTCCCTAGCACCCTCGTTGCTTTGGGGGCCCCTGAAGTGAACCCTGAAATACTCCGTCAACTCTGGGCTCAGACCTTTGCCCTTCTCTGTGTCACAAGGAAATTTCTGTCGAGAGGGTGGGAACAGGTGATTCCAGACCGTGCAGTAAAGCCACTGCCAGGCAAATTTTAAGGCAAATTTTCTCTCCTTATTCAGTCTGAGCCAGACCTGACCTCACCCCTGAGCAATCCTGCCTCTGCCAGACATGCACCTTAGGCAACTCTGGATGGAGGTGGGATGAGGGAGGCCGGGGCAGAGTCCACAAGGCAGGTCTGGGTCTGACTGGGGAATGGACGTGTGTGCTTATAAAGGCTGCAGGCACCGGGCGCAGTTCCTGGCCCAGCTGCCCGAGTGGTACGCAGGAACAGAGGCCCAAGAAAACCAAGATGGCAAAACAGGCCCCGGCTCTGGAAGCAACACGAGGCCATGCAGACCCCACTGGGCGGACCTCGTCGCATTTAACAGAAACTCCAGGAAAAGGGGTCACTGCAGGAGGCACCTCGGATCTGATGGCAGGCAGGACCTTGCATCAAAATGATTTTTCTTTAGAACAAAAAAGAGGGGGAGAAAAGAAAAAGAAGATCAAAGAAAGAGGTTCCATGAGCGTCATGAGATGGGACACAGCAGGGTTGTAAGGGAAGCGGGAAGGTGGGGGCTGCAGACACAGGGTGGCGGGCGCTGCCTCTCATGGCTTCTTTTCTGCCTGGTGGGCTGGTGGGCTGGCAGCTGAGGCCGGCGGTCCCCTCCCCTGGGGAGCAGGCAGATGACTTTGGCAAGGCGGGGGGCTGGGGTTACTCCGTCTGCGCGTCGTAGTTGGCCCCCCCTGCCTTCTTCAGCTCACTCTTGATGAAATCTTCCTCCAGCTCCTTCCGATCACTGATCACAAACTCCTTAGCGAAATTCTGCAAGAACAAAGGAAAACACAGCGTTCCTATTAAGAAGGAAAGGACAGGATGTGAGGGTGGCTCAGGAACACACTGGGAAGCAAAGCCCTGAAAACACTGAACGAGAGATGGAAATGAAACCTCAGCAGCAGGGCTGTCTGGCAGAAGAATCCTGACTAGGGAGGAGGGAATGGGGCAGAGGTGAGGCTGTGTCTTCCCATCACCGTGCCGACGGCCCGAGGAAGCCAGGGCTTGAGCTCTGGCTGCATTACCTTGGGCGAGTCCCTTCAATTCTTTGTGCCTCAATTCCCTCACCTGTAAAAAACATCTTGTCATGAGAATACTAGGTTACGAGGCTGGAAAGGCAGGTGGTGTGCTGGTAAATGTTTAACACTAGGCACTC